GGGGCCGCCCCGGCGCCGTCCCGGTGCCGCCGTGGGGTCCCCCCGGGGCTGACGGTCCCCGCTGTCCCCAGCCAAGCACATCGTAAAGGTGGACGGGAGAGCGGGACTCTTCAAAGGCCTCGCCCCCCGCCTCTGCTCCAGCGCCATCGGCACCGTGGTGCACAGCAAAGTGCTGCAGGTACCGGCACGGGCGGGGCGCCGGGCCCGGGGCGCTGCGGGAACCGCGGGTTCTGCCGCCGGGACAAGGGGACACCGGGGCCCCCTGGCTCCCCGCGCTGACCCTGCTCTTTGCTCCACAGCGGTACCAGGAGGCTGAGCAGTCTGAGGTGGGTGCAGAGGTGCTTCCCACAGGGAATCCATCCTTCCCTTCATCCCTGTCTCCTTCCTTCTCCCTCTTTCCGTTTCTCTGTTTTTCTATTCCTCCCTTCTTTTTTCTTTCTCTTCTTCTTTCCCTCATTCCTTTTTCTCCTTTTTCTCTTTTTTCTCCTTTTTCTCTTTCTCCTTTCCCTCCTCCTCTTCTCTCTTCCCTTCTGTTCTTCTCTCCATTTTCCCTTCTCCATTCCTTCCCTCCTCCTTTTCCCCTTTGTTTCCCTCCATCCTTTCCTCCTCCTTCTCTCCTTTCTCTGTTCCCCCTCTCCCTCCCCTCGCTCCCCGGCTTTGGACCCCCAGCCCTGGCTCTGGAGTGCTCCAGTGGGCCGGGAGCTTCCACCCCCAGCCTGGTGACAACGTCCCTTCTCCGGGCTGTTCCCAACTGTCTCCTCCTTCCCCCTCCAGCCTGGAGTCAGCAAGAAGGTGTTCTCGCTGGAGCATGTACTCAAGCAGGTGAGGAGCAGGAGGAGGAAGAAGGCAGTGGGATGTCACATCCCCGTCCCCTCCTGCTGATGTTCCCTTTGTTCCCAGACCTCCCAGGAGATGGTCGCCCGCTCTGCCGCCACCCTCATCACCCACCCCTTCCACGGTAGGTGTCCCCCCATCCCAGGGGACCGGGGGGCGCGGTGCCAGGCGCTTCCCGTCACTCCCGTGTCGCTCCCATGTCCCCGCAGTGATCACCCTGCGCTGCATGGTGCAGTTCATCGGCCGTGAGACCAAGTACAGGTACGGCCTGGGGGCTCTGGGGGCTCCGGGAGCTTTGGGGTCCTGGCATTGCCCTGACGTTGTCCCTTCTCTTTCTCCCTACCCCAGTGGGACACTAAGCGCCTTCACCACAATCTACCAGGAAGAGGGAATCCTGGGATTCTTCGCGTGAGTGCTGGCAAGGCAGGGAGGGGCACGGCGGGGGTGACATCAGTGGGAAGGTCCCAAAGCCCTCTTGGGAGTTTCTTCAATCCCTCCAGCAGCTCCAGATCACTCAGCTGAGCATCCCCATTCCCAGGGACGGCCGTTCCCCGTCACCCAGCTGCTGTGGGAACAGCTGCCCCCTGTCCCAAAACCAGCTCTTCCCAACTCTCCACACAGTCGGATCCCAACCCTCAGCCGACGTTCCTACTGTTTGTTCCCTTGCAGCGGCCTCATCCCGCGGCTCCTCGGGGACATCCTCTCCCTGTGGCTGTGCAACATGCTGGCCTACCTCATCAACACATACGCGCTGGAGAGCGGGGTAGGCTCCGCTCCGGGATCCCGGGAGCCGGGAGCAGACAGGGGGCAGCTCCAGGGCTGTTCTGGGAGCCATGGCCCCGTTCTGGGGGGATTCAGGTGCTGTTGCTCCTCCCTCAGGTCTCCACCATGACCGAGGTGAATAGCTACTCCCACGCGGTCACTGGGGTGAGTACAGCCACGGGCAGGACGTGGATCCTTTCCCTAGGGAGTGGTGTGTTCCCGGAATCCTGCGGCTGCCAGGGTGGGGATGGAGCCAGGCTGGGATCAGCCGGATCAGCCCACAGGCCAAGGGATGCTCCGTGGAGGAAATGTGTGACCCTGTGGAGGTGGCAGGAGTGGGCTCCCTCTCTGGGGTGAAACTCCCAGGGGTTCTCCCCATGTGGAGGGAAGAGGGAACATCCCACCGATCCCCACTTTTCCTGCAGTTCTTTGCCAGCATGCTGACCTACCCCTTCGTCCTGGTCTCCAACCTGATGGCTGTGAACAACTGCGGGTGAGTCCCTAATCCCACTGACACTCTGCCCTGGAGCAGCTCCTGGAACCACTTGTCCAAAATTCCCAGATGGGAAGGTGCTTCCAGTGCTCCACAAGGTTGATCCCTCTTTGCTTGAAGTGGGAAAAGGTCATTTTGTTGTTCAACCCAGTGTGGAGCCACAGAGGGGATGGGTCATTCCTGGGTAAGAATAGTTCCCTGTGGGAATAATTCCCAGTGGGTCTTTCCCTTCTTCCTCAGGTTGGCTGGGGGTCTCCTTCCTTATGCACCCACCTACTCCTCCTGGCTGGATTGCTGGAGCCAGCTGCACAGGGAGGTAAGTGCTGAGTCTGGGATGCACCAGGACACGGAGAGGAGCCGGGTGGGAGCTCCGTGGGGTTGGAGAGGCCACCTTGGGCCTTGTGTGGCCCCTCCATGGTCGTTTTCCCTTTCCAGGGCAACATGAGCCGAGGGAACAGCCTGTTCTTCCGCAAGGTTCCAGCAGGGAAGAGATACGTGTGGGAGGAGCGGAGGTTCCGCTGATTCTGGAGATGGGAGTGGGATTGTGGAGCCAATGCTGGGCTCTGGAAGCAAAGAATCATGGAGAGTGATGATTTCTATACAGTTTTTTAAAAATCATTTCCTGCTGAGAGCTGAAGGTGCAAGTGTGAGAGTTTCTGTCCATGGGGGTTTCCTAGGAAGACGGTCACCAGCATTCCCTGATTTATCTGGGAGCCTTTTCCCAGCCTCAAACACTGTTGAGGCTGTTTCCACAGGGGAAATTCCCTGACAACCCCAGGCACCTGGTGACACGGAGGGCCAGTGGCGTGTGGGAGCTGTCAGAAGTGGGAGGAATGTATGCCTGGAAGGGGTTGTTGGACACCTGGAAGGGGTTGTTGGACACCTGGAGGGGTCCTTGCAAGGCCCATGGAGGGGGCAGAGGTGAGCCTTGCACGCCTGGGCAGAGGTTTGCACACCCAGGGGTTGTGTAGGGCTGGGAGGTGCGGTCACACAGTTGGTGGGGGCACAGCAAGGGGTTATTGCACACCTGGCGGGGGCTGCTGCACACGTGATGAGGGTTATAGCACGGCTGGAGCAGGACTTGCACAGCCGGCAGAGCCGGAGGGTCGTTGCACAGCTGGAAGGTAGGTCACACACCTGGCAGGAGTTGTTGCACACCTGGTGGAGGCTGCTGCACGGCTGGAACAGCACTTGCACACCTGGCAGGCACATTGCGAAGGTGGGACGTGGGTCACACGCCTGGCGGCGGCTGTCGCGTACCGAACGAGGGCATGGCCAAGCAGGCAGGCGGTTTCAGAGCCGGCAGGGGCCGTTCCGCACCGGAGGAGGCTGTCGT